CCCCTGCATCGGCAGGCGGACTCTCAACCACTGCGCCACCAGGGAAGCCCAGGGTCTACTCTTCGTTGAGGTGCACCAGCTTCTCATTGCGGTGGCTTCTCTTGTTGCGGAGCACGGACTCTAGGCGCATGGGCTTCAGTAGTTGTGGTGCGCTGGGTCAGTAGTTGTGGCTTGCAGGGGCTCTAGAGCACAGGCTCAGTAGTTGTGGCACATGGGCTTAGTTGCTCCACTGCATGTGGGATCTTCCCAGGCCAGGGATCAAACCCGAGACCCCCACATTGGCAAGCAGATTCTTAACCACTGAGCCACCAGGGAAGTCCAAAAATTATATCATTTTTACATAATAATTTAAAGCGAATGTGAAGTATAATATTATAGGGTAAACATACACACGTGAGTGGTATTTCCCAATCTTCCCTCGCAAAACTTAATCTTAAATAAAGCCACAAAATTTTTCACAACAGATTGGCAAAGAGACTGCAAATATGTGAACTAAATGTCTGTTTTGGAGTCTGAGACATAAGACATTCTACGATCAAATGTGGCAGAGATTTCTTTCCTATACTCCGGAAATTCCAAGCAGGCTAAATGACTTCTCTTCCTTCCAATGACTCCTGAATGCATGGGTAAAATTTCCTATAAAATGTTAGGGGAAAAAGTGTTTACGAAATAATCTCAAACCTTTTCTAGAAATCTAGTAGTATGTACACCTTCAATATACATTACATTCGTCTGCGTATACACACCTACACACACGTTTCACACAAATATGGGGGGGGCGGTGGATAAAGGGAAAGGGGCTAAGGAGCACAAAATCGTCTTTAAAACATGTGATGCCAAAAGCCTCTGAATCAAAGAATTCATAAAACAACACTGAGTATATTTCTGAATAGAGAAATCCCTAAACCAGACAATTCTGAAAATGCTTTCCAAAGAATCTACACACAACATACAAGATTTAAAGTTAATTTACTTACGGAAAAAATCCTTTTTCACCAAGTTTTTTGCACAGAGTACTGTAAAGGAAACAGAAAATACATGGGAAGAATTAAAATGGTGAGACTGCATTGTCAAAGTTTCATTTTGAAACACTGAAAATACCAGTGAATAATAGTTAAACACTAACTATAGCAAGGTATGAAATATGATCACAATCTTTGATTAAAGACTAGCAAAAGACAGTTGAACCAGTGGTGGCAACTTCAGCAACGATCACCAGTAACAGCTGAGGGCAAGAAAGTTTATAAATCTGGTATTCTAATAAAGAACCACTTCCTGTCTTCCATCAAGATCTAGTCTCAGAGTAGCCTGGTGGCAAGGGAAAAATAGAGTTCTAAGGAGGAAATATGTAAATTGGGGGTTTTATATATATATATATATATATATGCTATTTTCATACCGATACTTTTGTACCCTTAATTACTCTAAACAAGATAATATCACCTACACCACATGTATCAGTTTGCTAGAGCTGCCATAACAAAATACTACAGGCTGGGTCGCTTAAACAGTGATTTATTTTCTCATAATTCTGGGGGCTGTAAGTCTAAGGTGTGGTTGCCAGAAAGGTTGAGTTCTGGTGAGAACCCTCTTCCTGGCTTGCACAGGGCTGCCTTCTTGCTATGTGCCCACATGGCCTTTCCTCAGTGCGTGCACATGCAGAGAGAATTCCAGTATCTCTTCCTCTTCTTATAAGGGCACCAGTTCTATCAGATCAGGACTCTATCGTTACGACCTCACTTAACCTTAATCCTCCTTAAAGGCCCCATGTCCAATATATATAGTAACATGGGGATTAGGACTTCAAGATATGAATTTGGCAGGGACACAATTCAGTCCATAGCATCCTGGGATCTAGATACTTCTGAAGATACAATCTATCTCTGTTTCAAAAACATTTTATGTTTGAAAATGACTGCCAGAAATATTTGAAATTCTGGGTAAATGGAATTCAAAAGGAAAGAACTTGCTTTTTCTCTAGATTCTAAGCTCCAGGAGGGCAGGAACTGTGTGCCTCAGTATTTCAGCATGGAGCACAGCAGTAAGCCCTCAGAAACAAGTGAATTGAGGAAAGGTGGATGTTCCTAAAGACACAATAAGATCACTAGTTTGTGGCGCCATCACGATCTCAGCTTCATTTGATCCCTGTTGAGAACACAAGGGAGGGATAAATGAATTTTTAATCTGGAATTTTTAATCATATATATATATATATATATATTTTTTTTTTTTTTAAGGGTAAAATAATTTTATACTGAAGAGGATCACAAGAAAACAAAGCTTAATTGATACTGGTGACATTTTTTTTTAAATGACATTCATTCTGTTATTTACTCTCCATCTAAACTCCACAGAAACATCGGCTCAATGACAAGAGAGATCTACTATACTTTCCAAAAATTAAGTTACTATATTGAGATAGCTATCCCAAATCCACATTCTCTGGATTACCTTGCATTAAATTATCACTTACACACTGATGGCTGCACAACCTTGTGAATATATTAAAACCATTGAATTGCATGCTTTAGAGGGATGAATTTTACAGTACGTGAATTGCATGTCAATTTAAAAATCACTGTTTATACAGTCATTAACTTCTTTAATCCAAACTTGTTACAAGTGAAGGGAAACCACCAATTTCCATATATTCATATTTTAATTTATAAAATATCTATGAAAGTAATGTTGGGTTAACTTCTACCCACTTCTACTCACAGTTTAAATGGTCTGTTCAATTAGTTACACTTATTGGAAGTTTAGTATATAAAAATTCATTTAACATAAACCTTGGGAACAAGTCTAAATATAATTAATCACTTGAAAAGTTCAAATAAAAATAATTTTGAACACAGATGCCATCAGTAAATGAATAAAATTATTAAGCCCAAGATACTGATTTACTAATCAGAGTCTCTTAGGCCCTGTCATAGTTTAAAAACATAAAAACTCAATCATGAAAGCTAAGGCCATAACTCGGAGTACCAAATCAGAAACTTGATTTAGGAGAACTCTTCCCTAGGGACTTCCCTGGCGGTCCAGTAGTTAAGACCTTGCGCTTCCACTGCAGGGGACACAGGTTCAATCCCTGGTTGGGGAACTAAGATCCTGCATGCCGCATGGTGTGGCCAAAAAAAAAAAAAAGAGAAAACCAAGAGGGTGGGTGCTGTTGTCATATAGAACCTGGAATTGGATCTGATTAAACGTTTTAAAAAAAAAAAAAGAAGGGGCTTCCCTGGTGGCGCAGTGGTTGAGAATCCACCTGCTAATGCAGGGGACACGGGTTCGAGCCCTGATCCGGGAAGATCCCACATGCCGCGGAGCAACTAGTCCCGTGAGCCACAACTACTGAGCCTGCGCGTCTGGAGCCTGTGCTCCACAAGAGAGGCCGCGATAGTGAGAGGCCCGCACAGCGCGATGAAGAGCGGCCCCTGCTTGCCACAACTAGAGAAAGTCCTCGCACAGAAATGAAGACGCAACACAGCAAAAATTAATTAATTAATAAACTCCTACCCACAACATCTTCTTTAAAAACAAAAAAAAGTGCCATCCCAATCAAATTTAAATAAATTAGAAAAAACAAAAAATAATTTAAAAAATAAAAAAAATAAAAAAATAAAAATAAAAAAAAAGAACTCCTCTCTAAACTTTTATTATCATCATATAAACTGAACAGAATACTCAGGATCAATACATATACAACACATATATAAATCCAAATTATAATCTCCAGTATTGACGAGGAATTCATAATTTTTAACCACCATCCTAAGATTCAAGATGTAAAATAAATACACACCCTACTTAAGAGAAATAGAAAATATATGGGAAGTCCTCCAACTTCTTGTCACTAAACCTACAAACGTACTGTTTCAACACTCATTCTTTTTTTCTTCCTTCCACTTACAGTGTCTACTCTCCTAACACCATCCTTCTGCCTGTACTCTGGATCTCATACCCAACCCACCACTTTCTCAAGAACTTTCCCTCCACTTCCTCTACCGATTGCCTCATCAGTATTTAAACATATTCAAGTCTTGCCCATGCCTCCCCACTCCAGCCACCATCCTACCTCTCTTCCTTCATAATTAAACTACTTTTAAACACTGTCTATACTTTGTGACTTCACTTCCTTATATCCAGTAATGCCTCAATCCACTGCAATTTGGCTTCCACTCTCACCATTGCCCCTATACTGCTTCTCCAAAGCCCTGGGGACCTAATTAATAATCCATCCAATGGACACTTTTCATTCTTTATCGCACTTGACCCCTGAGGGGTATTTGCCACTACTGACTACTCCTTCTTCTAAAACCCCTCTCTTCTTTTGGCTTCTGTTTAACACCACATTCACCTGGTTTTACACCAAGCATAAAATTCATTCAAAGTCTTTTCTGCCAGATCTTTTTCCTTTGCTCCACCCATGAAACTTGGGGTTCTTCAGGGCTTTACTTTAGGTCCTCTTTTACTCTATAAACCGAGGAGCACAGATATCCATCCTGTAAATCTCGGAATTATATGTAAACTGTTAATATGCTCAACAAAATATTAGCAAACTGAAACCACATGATCAAGTTGGATTCATCCCAGGATCACAAGGATGGTTCAACATATGAAAATCAATCAATGTGATACACTACATCAGCAAAAGACAAAAAAAACCACATGATCATCTCAATAGGTGCAGAAAAAACATTTGATAAAATTCAACATCCATTCATGATAAAAACTACAGAGGGAACATATCTCAACATCATAAAAGCTATTTATGACAAAACCACAGCCAACATAATACTCAATGGCGAAAAGCTGAAAGACTTCCTGCTAAAATCTGGAACAAAACAAGGATGCCCACTCTCACCACTTCTATTCAACAGAGCATTGGTGCAGATGACATGATACTAGATATAGAAAACTCTAAAGACTCACACAAAAACCACTAGAACTGATAAACTAACTCAGCAAGGTAACAGGATGCAAGATTAACATACAGAAATCTGTTGCATTTCTTTATACTGACAGAAATATCGGAAAAGGCAAGTAAAAAAAAATTCGCTTTAAAATTGCATCAAAAAAAAAAACACCTTAGTAATAAACCTGACCAAGGAGCTGAAAGACTTATATGCTGAGAACTACAAAACATTTACAAAAGGAAACTGAAGATGTTTCAAAGAAATGGAAAGATATCCCATGGTCTTGGATTGGAAGAACTAACACTGTTAAAATGGCCATACTACTCAAGGCAATCTACGATTTAATGTGATCCTTATCAAATTACCCATAACATTTTTCACAGAACTAGAACAAATAATCCTAAAATTTATATAGAATCGTAAAAGACCCAGAATTGCCAAAGCAATCCTAAGGCATAACGCTCCCAGACTTCAGACAATACTACAAAGCTACAGTAATCAAAACAGTCCAGTATTGGCCCAAAAACAGACATATGGATCAATGGAACAGAATAGAGAGCCCAGAAATAAACCCACAAACCTATGTTCAATTACTCGTCAACAGAGAAGGCAAGAATATACAATGGAGAAAACACCAGCAAGCAGCATTAGGAAAACTGGACAGCCAAATGTAAATCAATGAAGTTAGAACACTTCCTCACACCATACACAAAAATAAACTTAAAATGGTTTAAAGATTTAAATATAAGACACAACACCATAAAACTCCTAGAAGAGAACACAGGCAAAGCATTTTCTGACATAAATCATACCAATGTTTTCTTAGGTCAGTCTCCAAGACAACAGAAATAAAAGCAAAAATAAACAAATGGGACCTAATCAAATTTATGAGCTTTTACACAGCAAAGGAAATCATAAACAAAACAAAAAGACAATCTACGGAATAGGAGAAAATATTTGCTAACAATGCAATTGACAAGGGCTTAATTTCCAAAATATACAAAGAGCTCATACAACTCAATAACAAAAAATCAAACAACCCAATCAAAAACTGGGCAGAGGGCTTCCCTGGTGGCGCAGTGGTTGAGAGTCCGCCTGCCGAT